CTAGGCCACCGTGGGAGTGGCAGGGCCTGAGCCTGGGTGGGGAGGATAAGGGAAGATTGGAATGCCGGGTGGGCGCGGGTCTTCTGATGAAAGAGGGACTTGAGGTCGGCAAGGGGCTCATGAGGTGGGAGATGGGACAGAAGGGACTCTTGGTGGTCAGGAATTGCAGAAGACTATAACTAGAGAAGTCTGGAGAAAAGAATCTATGGTAAAGCAGGCCATAGAAGGGCTACTGCTTTGATGTGAAGGAGTTAAACAATTACTCTAGGCTACTTCGGCCGTTGTGCCCCACTGCCTCAACAAGAGGAAGGGGTAAGAAGTTCTGTGTTGTGAAAAAGGGAAGAGAAAGTGAGCACAGCTGTCTGTGATTCTCATCTCCCTCCTTCCTCCCAGGGCTGAGCCTGCAGGCTGCTTCTGGTCAGGAGGTTTACCAGGTGAGAAGAAACAGGAGCGTGGGGAGGCCAAATGGGCAGGGCCCTAGCTGGTTTGGCTCAGTGGATAGAGCGTCAGCCTGCGGACTGAAGGGTCCTGGGTTCCATTCCGCTCAAGGGCACATGCTTGGGTTGCGGGCTCTATCCCCAGTAGGGGCGTGCAGGAGGTAGCCAATCAATGATTCTCATCATTGATGTTTCTATCTCTCTCTCCCTCTCCCTTCCTCTCTGAAATCAATAAAAATATACATATTTTTTAAAAAGGATGCTGGGAGGGAAACAGGGCTGCCAAAGGAGGGATGGCGGGATCAGGGTGGCAAGAGGTAGGTCTGGGGGCTAACGCTGCACCGTCCAATACTTCCCCCCAGGTGAACCTGACTGCCTCCCTGGGCACATGGGACGTGGCAGGGGAAGTGACGGGAGTGACTCTCACTGGGGAGGGGCAGCCAAACCTCACCCTCACCAGCTCAGGACTGGACCAACTCAATCGGCAGCTGCAACTGGTCACTTATAGCAGCCGAAGCTACCAGGCAAACACAGCGGACACAGGTGCGAGGCGCTGGGTGGAGGTAGGGGCAGTCTGGGTGGACAGAGAGCACCCAGAAAGGCTGGGTCAGGCAAATGGCAGAGGCTGTGGGAGATACTCGGGCAATGGCCAGAGCTGCCCAGCCACACAATGGGCATTTCAGCTAGGCCAGCAAGGCCAGGGAGGGAGAGAAGAGGCCTTTGTTCATCTGGGGCCAGAGCAGGCCAGAGGGAAATCTGAGCTTTGGGTGTGTCCCTCCTCAGGCCAACCATGGGGGCCCCAGGAAGTGACCCAGGAGCCAGAAGACTCCAGCTCTATTCCCAGCCCACCACTTACCACAGGGCAAAGGGCTTTATCTCCCAAAGCTCCCACTTCAAGCAAAAGGCACCTACCAGTCCAGGCTCGCTACACCAAACCTGCTCCCATTGAGGACCTCTGCCCTTGCCGTTCGCTCTGCCTAGAATGCTCTTCCCCCAGATGTGTGCATGGCTGGCTCCTTCTTGTCATCTGGATCTCAGCTCAAATGTCTCCTCTTCACTATCACATTACTTGCCTTATTTTCTATTCAATATTTACCAGTATCTGAACTTTTCTTATTTACTTAACCTGAAACCAGGCTAACTAGGTTTCTCTCCCAGCTTGGTTGCTTAAATCGTTGTCGAAATGTGGCAGATTCTTTAATTTCTCTGTGCCTTCTTTTTCTGTAGTAGGAATCTACTTCCTATCGTGAGGATTAAATGAGTCCATATTTAAATGACCACTCAAGGTCATTTACAAAGTGCCTGGCCCGTAGTAAATGCTCAGCGAATTTAGCTTTAAATTAAATGTTTTCTCATCTTTCTCCCATCCGTTGGAATGTAAGTCCCATGGGGGTAAGAACATTGCGTTCTTGTCCACCAGGGCTGAGAAAGGTGATACACAGAATAAGCACTTAAATATTTATTTACTAAAAATAGAATGCTGTTCCACATTTCATGCCCTTTCTTCCCAGTCCGGTTCTCCACCGAGGGACATGAAGTGGCCTTCACCATTCACATAAGACATCTCCCCAACCCTCGGCTGTACCCACCTGGGTCTCCACCACAGGGAGGTGAGGCTTGTGCATGCAGGGACATGGGTGCAGCCCCGGTGGGGAACGAGTTGGGAGAGGGCTGCCTGGGAGAAGATGGATGTCTTTTTGCTCCTCACTATCCATTCTCCTTGTCTGCACCTAACTCTGCCCCTCACTCCCAGCCCAGTACAACATTAGCGCGCTGGTCACCATTGCCACCAAGACCTTCCTTCGTTATAATCGGCTGCGGGCGCTCATCGCCAGCATCCGCCGCTTCTACCCGACCGTCACAGTGATCATCGCCGACGACAGCGACAAGCCGGAGATCATTAGCGACCCCCACGTCGAGCACTATCTCATGCCTTTTGGCAAGGTGCGCAGCGGGCCAGACGGAACCCAGCGCCGCAGGGCACCGGGAGGGGGCGCGCGCGCTCAGTCTCCAGAGTAGTGAGTGGTTCCCGGGATTATCCGCCTCAAAACCACTGGGTTGGATGCCTGTTAACCCCGAGGCTTCCCGGAATGGAAGCTCTGTGAACGCAGAAATCGTGTCATCGTGTCTATCTTATTGGCGCTGCATTCGCGGAATGGTGCTCAGCACCTAGTGGGTGCGTGATAAATAGTTGAACGAATGCACTCAGGAATTAAATGCATTCATTCCAAGACTGCCCCCCATCCCAACACTGACTCAGGACCTCTGACAATGGGAAACTGTATTTTTTACCTAGCTCCCCGCAATTCACAACAACTCCAAGTTTGGAGAGGGGTGCAGGCTGTTTAGAGTGATCAAGAGTGAAAAGGAAAGGTGGCCAAGGGGTCTGTCCTAACCACGGCTTCGCCAACCACACATACCCTTCCCAGGGCTGGTTCGCAGGCCGGAACCTGGCCGTGTCCCAAGTGACCACCAAGTACGTACTGTGGGTGGACGACGACTTTATCTTCACGGCTCGGACGCAGCTGGAGAGGCTTGTGGACGTGCTGGAACGGACGCCGTTGGACCTGGTAAGGGAGGGGCCGCAGGATGTGGGGTGGAGACAGAGGGCTTCCAGGGGGTTCAGACCACGGCTGGACAGCAGCCAGCCCTTGGGACAAGAGAGGATGAAGAAGCGGAGCCTGGGCTATATCTAGGTCCCGACGGGGTAGAATCGAAAAGGACGGGGCAAGGGAACCGTGGGGGGCGAACGGGGGTGACGGGGAGGAGGCGGGGGGAGCACAGACCTACCCCTTCCAGTCCTCGCCCCTCCTGGAGCCATCCTCCCATTCACCGCAGGTCGGGGGCGCTGTGCGCGAGATCTCGGGCTTCGCCACCACCTACCGGCAGCTGTTGAGCGTGGAGCCGGGCGCGCCAGGCCGCGGGAACTGCCTCCGGCAAAAGCGTGGCTTTCACCACGAGCTCATCGGCTTCCCGGGCTGCGTGGTCACCGACGGCGTGGTCAACTTCTTCCTGGCACGCACCGACAAAGTGCGAGAGGTCGGCTTCGACCCGCGTCTCAACCGGGTGGCGCACCTGGGTGAGTGGCGCCCTCTTCTGGCAGGGTCTCCCCTTGCGAGGCGAGGTTCCTTGCGGCAAGGCTCCAAGGGCACCCCCGCGGAGATTACCAAGAGAAAGAGCTTCTACCTCCTGGCCTGCACACCACGTTAACCTTCGCACCCAACACAGCTGCTGGGTCCACCTTGAACTTCCCTACCTCTGTCACTGCCACCTCTGCCCCACTCCCTGGCCCTGAGAAATGGAGTGTGTGCATGCGCACCCTCCTTACCCCAAATCCCACTTCTCCCTGAGGGCTCGCCTTCTGCACTCTCAAGACGCTTCATTGTGTACTCCCCCCCTTCACCCCCAGAATTCTTCCTGGATGGACTTGGTTCCCTTCGGGTGGGCTCCTGCTCCGACGTCGTTGTGGATCACGCATCCAAATTGAAGCTGCCTTGGACATCAAGGGATCCTGGGACAGAGACTTACGCCCGGTACCGTTACCCAGGATCACTGGACGGAAGTCACATGGCCAGACACCGCCTGCTCTTCTTCAAACACCAACTGCAGTGCATGACTGCGGAGTGATAGCCACTCAGGGCCTTTCAACGGACAGGCTGGGCCTGCCTTCTTGTCCCTGCCAGAACTTTCTAGCAAACCCCACTACCCAGTGACCACTCCACTGACTGTCCCCAATCCCCTTCAGAACCTGATCCCAAACAGGGGCTAATCCTGGTGACACCCCTCCTTTCTGTGAGTGCCCAGGGGTGTGGTGGAGCCATAACTCGTCCCACAGCCAGTGCCAAGTCCTCCCTCCACCCCTCTCATGGAGGTGGGAAGTCACTGTCCAAGTGCCAAAGAGCCCAAAGGACTCTAAGAACCTAAAGTGGAAACACTCATCTCCCGGTGACTGAGTGGGTGGGGAAGGCCCCAACATGTATCCCCAGGACTACGCCACCTCCCCCATCTCTGGATCCAGGACTGTGCACCGGCTGCAGCCGCACCCCCACCCCCATGGAGAGACCTGGTGACTGGAGCTGGGGTGAGGGCCAGTGAACACACAGGTGAAAGCATTTTTAGTTGTGTCTCTGCAATGCTGTGGGCATGGAGGAAGGGGCACCAGGGGCCGGTGTGCAGACACCCAGACTCACTTCATGAATCCCAGAGGCACTCAGCTTTATTTTATTAGTTACATCAAGTCAGGGGGCTCAAGGGCCACGGCCCTCACACACACATTGCTGGGCCTTCCATACTCCACGTGACCCGCTCAGACCCATACTGTGCAAGTCTTCGGACCAGTGAGCTCCTGAAAAGGGGAGGGCACGTGTCAGGAATAGATGAAGTGCCCCGCCCTTCCTCATCCAGGACTTGGCTGTCTGAGGGGCACACCAACCCCTCTGGGACCTTTAGTTACTCGGTTCTTCACCCACAGCTGAGCCCATTCTCTCTGGCTAGTCTTTTTTTCTTTTTTAATCCTCAACCCAAAATACATTTATTGATTAGAGAGAGAGAGAGAGGAGGGGAAAGAGATAGACACCGATGTGAAAGAGAAACATCCATCTGATGCCTCCTCTATGCGCCCTGACTGGGGACTGGACCCACGACATAGGTATGTGCTCTGAACAGAAATCAAACCTGAAAATTTATTATTATTGTTGTTGTTGTTATTATTGATATATAGGAAGATGTTCCAACCAACTGAGCCACTCGGCCAGGGTTCCCTGGCTTAGTCTTGATAAATTAACTAATCATTTCATCCCCATCCCTTCCTTCATCTTCCTCCTCAGCCCCCTTCTTAACTCCCTCTGCCTGGATCTTCAGCCACTGCCTCGCACCTCCCTGGCTACAGCCCAGCACCCCCTGGCTTCCACCCCGTGGCCGCTGTCCCCTCACCAGTCTCTCCAGGGCATGCGCAGCTGCATCCTGGACACTCACAAACAGCTGCTCAGGGGTCACTCTGTCTAGGAGTCCTGCCTGGGTCAGTGTCCTGAGCACTGAGGCTGTGTGGAGAGGGGGCCAGGCTCTCAGGTTCTAAGTCCACGCTGTGTCCTCTTCTCTCCCCCAAGTGTCCGGCCATCCCCCCCATCTCCAGTTCCCTCCATGCTCCACACCTCTCACCATTACACTGAGCCAGGAGAAGGTGGATCCCAGCATCTTGGCATCTGCTGGCCAGCTGCAGGGGTAGGGCAGGGGGTTACACCCTACATCAGAGGGTGTGCCTGGGAGGATAAGGGGAGTTTCTCCTCAACCTCCCTCGCCCTCACCTGTACCACTTCTCTGGCCCCAGCAGCATCTGCGAAGGCGACACCACTGCAATCTAGGACCACCACTCTGACAGGCTCAGCCACTAGGATGGGAGAAGGCAGGGTCCCCAGAGGCTCCCAGGGATTAGTCCCAAACCTTCCTCCTGTCATCCCATCTCACCGGCATCAGGTGGGCCATCTACCTTTGGAGTCTCCTGTGAGAGAAAAGAGCGGTCACCACTTGGGAGGCACAAGCATGACCGTGCACACCTTGAGCACAAGGTTCCCCCTCAGAAACCCACGTGCCTCCCACGCACAGAGAGCCACGCTCCCCTTTGACCAAGCCCCTCACCTTGCCTCTGCCAAGCCCCAGGTGCCGCTCTAGGTTATGGCGAAACTGCCCACGGGTTCCAAAGTAGAGAGGTGTTGGGTAGCTCAGGATGCAGAGCCCTGGGACCTGGAGGAGCTAAGGGGTCAGAGGGTCAGAGAAACATCCGGGTCTAATCACCCCTTCCCTCTTTGGCTGTAGCCCACCCACCTTGTGGCTCTCTTGAAGTGGCCTGTAGAGCTCCGTCCCCTCAGCTAGTCCAAGTGCCACACACTGCACCCTAGGCAGGAAGCTGGGGTCAGATTCCCAGCCTGGCCTGGCTGAAAAGTCACCCCCAGCACTCTGTTCTCTCCCCTCCCTTCATCTTGACACCCCTCATCTCTACTCCCACCTCTGGGTACGGCAGACCACAGTCATCATGGAGAAGACCACACCTACGGCCAGGCCCAGGTCCACGCTCAGGGTCACCACAGACACCCATGTGACCATCCACACCGCCTGCAGGACAGAGATGGGAGTGAAATGCCCGGGAGAAATGCCAGGCCATCGCTGCTAAGGAAAAGGGTCCAGGGGCAGTGGCCGCCAGGGCAGGTGATGGGGAGGGATGGCTCAGGAGCAGGCAGGGAGAAAGACAGAAGGAAGGGATAGGACTGACCCAACGATGGATACACACCAAACATACTGACCCCAGACCTTGCACCACCTGGGGAGTTAAAAATATTCAGGTCTGAAGGCGTTCAAACCCCACCCCTCACCTTGTCTCGGAGGAAAGGGATTAGGAGGTATGCATGTTGGGGGTGGGTGGGTCACGGAACTTAGGACTAGGACAATTAGCTCTGATTCAGGGCAGAGGCTGGGGGTGCTGGGAAAGCGGGAGAGGGCAATGCTGTGTTTCTCACAAAGTCCATGCGGCTGACGCGCCATAGTTGTGGGAGTTCCTGCATCTGGAAGAACATCTGGCGCATGCTGGAGATGTTGATGCAGGCCAGGACAGCCTTGGAGCAGAGGAAAGGAACTAGCCACCCAATACTCTGGGATATAGCCACCCCTCCAGGTCCCCCCGCACACTGCCTCTGCCCCTTACCTTGGGCAGATAGTAGAAGAAGGGTCCGAGCCACAGCAGCACTGACAGGACAACTATGCAGGAGAAGAGGCCTGCCAGCTACAGGGAAGGGTCAATGGGAGCAAAAAAGGAAGGAAGGGGGCCTCACCCACCCTCCTGTGAGAGGTGGTCTCCCCGCCCACTGAGGCTCATCTTTCTTGAAAGTCTCTGTCCTCCCAAGTCCCTTCCCACAGACATTCCTCACTCTTCAAGGAGCTTCTTGATATTCTGCCATTCACACCTACCCTTCCCTTTCTGCCCAGTTAAATGCCTCATTCCCTCGTCTCCCCTAGATGTAGTTCAACCTCTCTATTTTTGTCACCCACCTCCATCTTAAAAGCCACTGTGGGATTACCCTAAAAGCAAGCTAACCACATGCTTAGGGCACCAACGGAGTAACAGAAACCAAAAATATAAAAATGTTAGGGGAGACTTTGATATGTGATATTTCTTTTTAACTGAAAATGTCCTTATGGGAAAAAATTAGAATTTTGTCTCAAATTTATTTTACAGTTTAGTTATGTTTTTACTTTGAACTACATATGGGGCACCATAAGCTTTTTAAGTGCTTACAGTAAAGGTCTTAATGGAACTTAGTGTCTTCTTTCTCTCCGACCTAGATAATCCCATCCCCTCCTTCACCCTCCCTCACAGAGTCCCAGCCTCCTTTATATAGCTGCCACCTGTTTCTCCACCACTTGGACTGGACGTCCCCCTTCCCCACCCTACCCTTTCTCCTCACTCAAGGGCACGCTCTTACCTGGGTGTTTCCACCAGCATCCACTAGTAGGCTGGTGGTGGCCAGTGTGGCCGAGTTGGGAAAGCAAGAGAACAGCGAGGAGATGAGGTTGGAGGCACCATGAGCCAAGAGTTCCTGGGGTGAAGAGTGAGATGAAGAGAGAGAGACAAAGACATGGGGAGGTAACATTAGGGGGCTGTCTCCTGAATGAGCCTGGAGTCCTCAGTGGGAGTCCCACCTGGTTGGAGTCAATCGTGTAGCTATACTTGTCTGCATAGATGGAGGCCAGGGAGGCGGACACGGCAAAAGCAACCAGCGCGATGGGCAGTGCGTCATCCAGAATCCTAGGCAGCTCAGCCAGGTTGGGGAGGAGCGGCTGGGGAAATCTGGAGGGAGAGGGATCCACGGTAAGGAAGGGCTGGGTCTAACACGGAGTATAGGGAAGACAGAGACAAAGAGGGTGGAGCAGGACAAAAGGAGGTATTGGGTGTGAGAGGAGAAAGCTGGTGTTCCTTCATTCTCTCTTACCCTCCAGGCAGCAGCCCCACTATCTGGACATTGTATCTCGTGTCCAGGGAAGAGGTGAAGCAGAGCACAGAGGCCAGGAGCACCTGGGGAAGAGCATATATCAGGGCATGGGAGGAAATGGGTGTCCCGTCCCCCCCCCCGCCCCCGCAGAGGCTACAGGGCTCAATACGAGAGAGGATCAAAATGCAGGATTAGGGGGTTGCCGGAGCCTAGCAACCGGGGGAGCTTGGATGTGTTTGAGATGGCTGCCCGACAACTAATTTCGAGTGAAGGAGCGTGGGGATGAACAGAGGAACGATACCCATCAGGGGCTGTGGAGAGAGGTGGATGGTAGGAAAAGGCGGGCGGGGCGGGGGGGAGGCGCCTATGAGAGAGGCAGGTGGGTATTAGGAGGCAAAGCCGAGCCATTCTAAGTAGGGAAGTTTGGCTCTGTCTGCGGATACGTAGGGTATCTTTGGAGACGTTGAACATTTATTTACTTGGAAAGAGAAACGTAGGTAGGTTGGGAAGGGAAAGGGAGTTACAGGGAAGGACCCGGCCGGGAGAGAGATGGGAGTGGAGGCGCTCTGCCGAGCGACGCCGCACGGGAGCGCTGTTCGGAGGAAGAAGGCGCAGGAAGAGTTGCAGCGGGAACTCCGCGAGAGGAGAGGGGACGGGCGGTGGGGGATTCCGGAGGGTCAGCGTGTTCCGGGAAGCAGCCTAGCAAAGGGCTTGTGTAAGCAGGGCCTCTCGGCTGCGGCCCCTCTGCGCTCCGCTAGGGGGCGGCTGCGGCCAGCTCCTACAGGATGGGCAGGGTTTGTGAGGCGCAGGGGACCGGTACCCTAGAGCCAGCCTCACCATGACGATCTCCCCTGGGATCGGGGTGGGGAGCCTGTCTCGGAATCTCACGTTCAGTTCCTTGACCGGCACGAGCAGCGCCAGGCTGAGTGCGGAGATGGTCAGTTCGGCCGGACTGCTCTGAGGCAGTGCGGTCAGCACAGCGGCCAGCGTCTGCGGACGGGCGGGGAGCAGAGGGCCCCGAGCTAGGGGCGACTGTCCGCGGCGGACCCACCAGACCCAGGCAAGGCCCTCCCGGCTCCCATCAGGGCTCTCGCCTCCTCGGCGACCCTCATTCAGCCTCTGGGTCTCACCTTTCCTCCGCCCCGCCCCGTTACACACATCTCTCCATCCACTCGTCCTTCCTGCCTTCCTTTTCCGGTGGCCCCCCTCCGGGACCGCTGGAACCTCTTTCCTGTTGCCCACTCACCCCCGCCCACCTTGAAGAGAGCGAAGCAGCCGATCTGGCGCGGGAGGCGCAACCCCAAAAGGCTCGGCAGTTGGGACACAAGCACATGCAGCGCGGCCCCGCTGGTCAGCGCTTTAACCACGGGCTCGGACAGGAAGGTGGACAGGACGCCGAGCTGCAGCGCGAACATCCCCAGCTGCGGGAGGAGGATGCCCAGTCACAGCGGGAGCGCAGCGCGCCCGTTTCCTGGCGCACCTCTGACCGAG